TATATATATATATATATATATATATATATAATAATTATATTTTAATCGTAAATAAGTATAGGATGATTTACATATATCTCGAATAATTTCTAATATATATGTTATATAAAAAATTTGTATACAAGAATCATATAGTTTAGAGAAGGTATTCATAAAATTTTAAATTTTAATTTTAATTATTTTAAATAGCATATTATATTTTTTATATCAAAATCGAATATTTAATTTCAAATAAAAAATTGATTAGTTTTAATATAATAAAAATTCATTAGCTTTAATATAATAAAAACCTGTACTTGAATGATTTCATTTCGTTTCTTAAAAATTTAATTCGCGTAATATAAAGTTGGAAATTTATTATCATAACAGATTTTTACAAAACGATGTTTACATGATAATTCTTATCAATTCAAATGATTTTTTATCGCAATCATCTATTTCCATTAACTCGTGTAATAATTCAAAGTAGTATTAATTGATATTAATTAGTGATATTAATATAATCAATGATATAATCTAATTAAATAATTTCACAAAATTATTCTTTTATATTCTTTAATATTGGTAATTCACAATTTTAATATATCCTATAAAAAACGGTGTTTTCTTGAATTTGAATAAAGAGCTAATAAGCTCTATATCATGGATTGAGGAATTATCTGTCTTATATTTACTTAACTATATATGCTTATTATATAGAGTAATCATCATATTATTGATTACTATTACGCAAAGGAAATTTTTAAATAATGAAGTGAAATATCATTAGGTTTAGATTTAATAAAAACGAATACTTTTTTTTACTTAATATTAGAATTAAATATTCTTCGATATTTTAATATAAAAAATTTAACATTCCTTTTAAAATAATAAAATTAATCTTAAAATTTAAAATATTTTTATTAATAATACATATACATATAATAATACATATATATGTATATTAAGAATTTCCTTATATTTAATATAACATATTTAAATAATTTTTAGTATTTACACACAAATTGAAAAAATTTCTATATAAAAAATTTTTTGTTATTTTTTATATATTTTTGATAATGTTAAATAGCTATCATTTTTTATAAATGTTATATTTTAATATCTAGGTTGCAAGGATAAAAATATGGCTCCTATACTGAAAGATTTAGTGGAAACATCATATTTTAAAGTTGTAGTAGTTGAAGATGTTGATACGGTTGAATGTTGTGGAGCATTAAAGGTAAATATATTACACTTTTTTTTTTATCAAATTTATTAATAAGATTTTATAAATTAAAGCAGAATGCAATAGAGATGTTATTTTAAATACATATGTCTTTTAAATTTATATTTCGTTGTATGTAAAATTGCATTTTTCTTTCGTTTATAGAATCGTGATAATGAAAGGTTTATATTTTATAAATTTAATTTTTAATATAGAATGTAATATGAAATAAAAAAAAATAATTATTTTGTTTTTTTATAAAAAATAGAGCAATATATTTAAATAGAAAAAATATAAAAAAGAAACTACATTTCTGATTTAAATTGAAAATTATTTCAATAATGAAAAAATTAATAATATTCATAATTTTTAATATAATTATTTATCAAATTTCAATAAAAATTCTACAAATAATATTCTTTTCTTTTTATTTTATATAAAAAACATTTATTCAATCTTTTGTATTTCTTTGAAGTATATAAAAAATTATTAGACTTATATATTAAATATTATTTTATATTTTATATTGAATCTTAAATTTGAAATTTTGAATTTTGAAGCATTTTTGATATATTTTTATAATTATTTGAAATATATTTACATGGATAAATATAAATTATGAATAAAGATAAATATAAACAAAGATAATGCGTAAATTCTATAAATTTCTATAAATTCTTAATCATACGTTAAAATATTGTTTAAACTACAAAAGATAGATTACAAGTATTTAAAAAAAAATACATATTGATCTGAAAGTAAAAATTGATAAAAAAAAATTTTTTCTCTCTCTTTTCTTTTTTTTATTAAATATTTTATAAAAAAATAATCAAGAAATATTATGAAAATGAAAAATATTTCTCGGAAATTTTTAATTGAATTATTGTAATATTAAAAATTTAAGAATATGTAAAACGAATATGATATAAATATAATAATCATAAAAAATATATATATCGAAAATATACTCTAAATATACTTTTAATTCAAATAATTTCTCAATCAGATTTATATTAGATTTGTAATAGATTTGTATATTAGATTATAATACGCATACGAATAAAAATACGTACCAATTACATTAGATATATAAAAAATATTTTGAAATTTTGCAGAATAAAATTATAAATATACAAATAGTTCAATTATAATAATTTATTTATCAAAATTGTCATTTAATTTCTAATTAATTCAACTAATTTTAAATTTTAAATTGAAATTTAAAATAATAATCTTTTATTAATTTTTAATATATAAATAATTATTATTATAAATAATAAGACATATATACATATATCAATATATATAATTTAAAAATGTAAAATTTAAAAAATAAAAATAAAATATAATAAAAATATAATAAAATAAAATATAAATAATAAATATATAAAGATTTGAATAGATTTAAATAAATTTTTATTTTTGTATAACTAATTTAAAAAAAAATATATGTAAGATTACATATATTTAAGATATTCATAAGATTATGTACGTGATAATTTGACTATTTAATCATAATCAAATTCGCAATAATATACTTTTCTTAATTTTTCATATTTTTCATTAATTAAAAAGTATATTATAATATATATATAATAATATATATAATATATAATATAATGGAATTAATAATAAAAATTGCATATCAAATATCATTTAATTTTATTTTTTAACAGAATATAGTAGCCTGCGGCGCTGGTTTCATCGACGGTTTAGGATTAGGTGATAATACGAAAGCTGCAGTAATAAGATTGGGCCTTATGGAAATGATTAAATTTGTAGATACTTTTTTCCCTGGTGGAAAAAAATCTACATTCTTTGAAAGTTGTGGAATAGCAGATTTAATTACAACTTGTTACGGTGGTCGAAATCGTAAAATTTGCGAAGCGTTTGTAAAAACGGGCAAGGTTAATTTAAATATATATTTTATTAAATTTTAATATTTATTAACATATAAATCAGTTTTAATTATTATATACGAAATGAAATTGTAACAACAATAAGTTATTCATATATAATTTAATATTACTATATATATAATAATTTAATTTATGATCTATATTGATCTATAATTTTCTACAAATTACATGTAATTATATATTATAAACTTATATGCACATAATAGAAGACTAAATATTAATTATATAATTATATTATATTATATAAATATATAAAAAAAATGTATAATGTATTATTTCTTCTACAGAAAATCTCTGAGTTGGAAAAGGAAATCTTACATGGACAAAAGTTGCAAGGTCCTTTCACTGCTGAAGAAGTAAATTATATGTTAAAAGCAAAAAATATGGAAAACAGATTTCCTCTTTTCACAACTGTACATCGGATTTGTATTGGTGAGACAACACCTATGGAACTAATTGAAAACTTACGCAATCATCCAGAATACATGTAAGCTCAATTGTCTCCATTATAATTAATAATGGATTAGTTCAATCAATATGTATATATATATATATATATATATATATATATATATATATATATATATATATATTATATATATATATATATATATATATATAA